AGAGAGAGAGAGAGAGAGAGAGAGAGAAAGAGAGAGCGATCGTAAAGCGCGGTAGAATGTACTCTCTGACATAGGGCCCCGTATTGCTTGGCGCGACGCGCAGCGTGCGTTGCATTCCCCCGCGGTGCATTGACTTTGCCTCCCCTCCAGCGTTTTGAACCACCCTCTTCGTTTCCCCCTCCCTCGATCTTGTTCCACCAGCCCTTCTTACTTCCCCTACCTTCCTTCCCCTCCTCTCTCCTTTTCCTGTGCCTTTCTCATTCTGACCTTCTCTCTTTGCGTCGGGTCCTTCCATGCCGCCGGTGATACCGCCGCTCTCCACCTCTCCCTGTGCCGGTGCAAACGCTATCCGGCACAACAACAACATTCCTTCTCTCTATAGCCCCTTCGTGGCACGGAGATTCCGCTACCAGACTCTCTCTTTCTCTGTCCTTCTTTCTGCCCCCCTGCTCTCTCTCTCTCTCTCTCTCTCTCTCTCTCTCTCTCTCTCTCTCTCTCTCGCGCTTTCTCGCTCTCGTTCTCGCTCTACCGCTTCCTTATCCTCCTTCTTTTTCATCTTCTTCTTCTTCATCATCTTCTCTCTTGGCATCTCCGCGCGGGTGAGAAGAGATGGGAAAGACGCGTTGTTGAACGGCTCCGCAAAACTGGTCGCTGGCGAATCGCATGTCCGATCAACCCGATGCTCATCGGACAACTCCGCCGCATAGTTTTGCCGCGTATCTCGTTCGATCCTTTTTCGTTGATTGATACGGCGTGCGGGGGAAATTGAAACGAAATTATACAAATCCTGTCTGTTTATACGCTCGCCTCGTATTAAACGGCGCTGTGCTAAATCGAAAAAAAAAAAAAAACAGAAGAACCAGTGTGCGAAAAAACTCAGTTATTAAGATTTTACCAACAATTTCTATATATTACTCAAAAAACTTATTTTACAGTTAGGACGAGAATTATATAGATATGAGAAATTAGCCAAGATGAACAAATGACTAGCAAAACCGCGATATCGCATGTTTTGTATTTAATAGATGACAAAAACAATCTATCTAAACCATTTGTGAAGTTTAGCAAGAAAATCTCTCTGTGGCGCTCATCCAGATTAAAGCCAGTTACACTTTTTATCAAAATTGACTGTAATAGATAAGAAAGAGTGAGACAAACAAATGTATGATCCTCGCAGCCACCTAAATTTGCTTGCAAATATTGCTAAAATGCTACTGCTGTAAATCCTGCGTACTACAGACAATTTTCTAGCAGATAAGCGAGAAAACAGCGTTAAATTTTAACAGTGACATTTACGATTCTACCTGGACCTGAAACAAAACATTTTTTTAAATGTTTTTGAATTTTTTTTGAAGAAAAATTTTCCGTGAAATAGTGTAGGGTGGCAAGCGCAATAAAAAATTTCCACTTACTCATTTTTACCAAAAATTCGATTAGATTAGAAATGGAAAAATCAAAACTCGCTGGAAACATTAGCAATAATTAAAAAATTTAGCCGAATTCTATTTTCGTCAAACAAAAACTTTGTTCTGCCGAGGTCCTGATAATAATATATAAATTTCTTCACCAATATTTTACATGAATCATTCGTAAATTTATGTAAATTTGTTTAATACATAAAATGCGATTGAAAATCATTCATATCACACTTACTGCTAAATGTCTCCAACTTACATCATTACAATATTATCATCTACGAAGGCAATTTATATCGAAAAACAATCACGTCTTTCGCAAAATTCTTTCTCAATTATTTTACGCAATTTTATTGTCATCGGTTATGCGTTATTTTTTCGTGGACACTAAAAAGAAATCTTCCGCGTGTTGTAAGCGCACCTGCGGTGTTCTCTACCTGTCGGAGATTCAAAGAGGAACAGCACGATGCTATCGGGTAATATACAAGACGAACCTGCAGGGTATTTTCGAAAGCGTGTACGTGTTAGGACAGGTGTCGGGGGAGACTAAAAGATACCTGGTAAGAAATCCAGAACATGGTGGACGCCGGCCACCGAAATATTTCTTTCTCGTAACGAAAAGGAAGGAGAAACTGAAAAGCATCAGTGCTAAAGAGTGCCTCGCTAGCACCTCGCCGCTTTCCCTTTCCTATAATCGTGTCGCTTTCGTTCTCTTTCGCGACCCTTGAATGCTTCGGTATTATATATCCCTCGATCGGTTCTTTTCATGGTCCACGGTCCATGTTTCCAGGGTGGGAAATTCTCACTTTCGTTTAAGATCCTTGGTCCATCCCCGCGATCATCTTGATTGATGACGTCAGAAGAAAATACACGCTCAAATGCTACATGCATTCAATCCGTATGCTTAATTTGATTCGAAGCAACGTATTAATTATGTAACTTAACTGCAGATTAAATTTGAATTCAATACATTAACAAGACTGAATAGAAATGAAAAGTATATGTTAGTTAATGTTAGTTACTTTGTTAATTTCAAACTAATTGCTCTAAGGTATATATCTTTTTGTAACTTATAAATATTTGCAGTCGTTATTATACTCTTACAGAGTTTATATAGTGGTACTTTATATATAATAGAGTATAATGTAGACTTTGCAATGATAAGACGAAATATTGCAGTTGAAATAATACTTGAATAAATAGAACATGATTGAAACTAAAGCGGGGTCTACAATAGAAATCGTAATGTCGTAAGTCGTAGAAATTGACCAATCGCGGTCGATTATTCTTCTCAAACTCGATCGCGATTGGTCAATTTCTATGACTTACGACTTCTATTGTAGACCTCGCTTGATATTTGTCATGAATTGGAAGTCATTTTAGTTAGGCATCTTTGTAATCCACTTTCTTATTCTTTGTTAACGCATTTAAACAATAATAATCATAACAGTGGCGCTTGATCTAACGCTACAGGAAAAATTAGAGTCACGAAATCTAAAATTTAATAAATTTGAGTAAATTTTTGTCTCTCAAGCTATGAAGAGTGAATGCATCGAAATCTCTAAGCATACATTGATGAATTTTAGATGACATCAAAATTTTTTGAACATAACTTCAAGTGTCAAATCTAAATTATACAATGTATATATAAATACACTCATATATTTATTTGTTTTTAATTAGCGATTACTTACGTTATTTTTTATTAAAAGTTCTGGATCATTTTTTCTGTTGATGTTTAAGATAGTAATTATTAATTAAAATATAGTTAATCAACACCACCTCTTATAAACATTCTCTTAAGACATACACCCCTGTAAAAAAGATGATGCTGATCATCTATTTGATAATTACTATTTTATTAGATATCACAGAGAAAAAACTCTTCTAATCTGTTTCCTAGTAAAGAACAACGCTATATAATTAGTGGATGGTTAATTAAATAATACCCCGTATATATCGCATGTATGTACTCGAAAAAGGGGAAAAAAATGTATCCTCCGTCAGTATTGACGGCCATCTTGCGCGTAGACAATAAGGGAAGTATCGGCGCCTATACTTAAATTTTGGGCCAGAGGTTGCTAGGGTTCCTACTGGCGGGCGAAGTAGTTGTCATTCTGTACAAAGGTATGTAGAGGGCGCCTGAGAGCAGGCGTGCGCGAGTCACCACAGCATGGCGCTCTCACATAACTCCCCAAAACGAGGCTAGTCTCGTGGCGCGAAGACGAGCTTTATTCGCGAAGCGTGCCCGTACCCGAAAATTCTGGAGGGAACATGATCTTCGTTCTCTTCACTCTTCGTCGTCGTCGGAGTCGTCGTCGTCGTCGTCGTCGTCGTCGTCGTCGTCGTCGTCGTCGCCACCGCTGCCGTCGTCGTCGTTGGCGGCCATGTTTGCGCGGACACGGTAGGCGTTCACGGGCGGCACCGACTCGTCATACGTTCTCCAACTGCACCAGAGAACTCGTCGTCCCCACTCGCCGGTGCGCCGTCGTGCTTCTGGTGGGGCATCACCGACGGTATTCCGTTGGTGTCGCTTCCACCACCGCTGACGCTCTGTCGCCACCTCCTCTCCCTCTCCATTATTTCGCCCTGGCGTCCCCACACACGGGTCTTCTCTACCAGAGGGTAAGTTACCCCGATGTAGGGGAGAGTCGCCGAAATGGGTGGGCGGGCGGCATAAGGGGGAAGAAAGGAAAGCGACGTGATCGAACTACATCGGGAAGACTTTGTCTTCCACTTCTTCGCTCATCATCTTTGATTCCACAGCGCGGCCGTCTTTATGGCCTCCGATGTTACGCTACTCGCAATACCATGTCATCTTGTTTTATCTTACTCGTACTTATCTTACTTATTCGTCTTGATACTCAGGTTTTTCTTCTCCTTCATCCCGCCTATCCTTCCTTATACACCTCCTCAACTCAGCACCGCCGTCACTTTCTCTTCCTTTTTCTTCCAGTTTCTTCTTTCTCCTACCTCATCTTTTACGACTCAAAACTTGAAGGAATGATCGTTCAGAGTTCGTCAGACCGTCGAGTCTGACATGCTTATGTATTTAATTATCGAGCTTATCCGAGTTTGCTGGAATTTTACGGAGGCGAATATGCCGAAATGCGGGCGGGAACTATGAATAATTGATGAAAATTATCTTTCGTATGTGGAGTTTACCACAACCTGTTTTACATTTTCCTGTTAACGCTTTAACGATAGGTACATCATGTGCCATCGTTAAGGCGAACACATATGTCTCGGGATACACTAAGACACGTGTCCTAGTATCTTTATTATTCTCGGAGTATTTTTTCTTTTCTCTCTCTCTCTCTCTCTCTCTCTCTCTCTCTCTCTCTCTCTCTCTCTCTCTCTGACTCAAAATTCAAGAAATGGCAGTTAAACCCGATTTATGGTTATAAATAAAAGATCGTTATGCGTTATTGTATTTCGATTTCGTATAAATATGTTTCTTTATTTTTTTATCAAAACAGCTTAACTTTTAAGTAATTAGTTCAGAATATAATTCTGTAATATAATAAAATCAGCTTAAAAAAGTTTAAACACATTGTTCTTACTGGGCGTTTTGTTGATTTGCAGGCAAATGGTCGGCCGTATATTGGTAGAGATGTTTCGTGCTGCCGCTAACAATGGAACAAAACTTGTTTTGCCAGAGATTATGCACTGTGTACAGCCAATTATCAAGGATACCGGTAAGTTATTCACAACTATTGAAGCCTTACAACCACTTTAACGGAACACTAACGCTACAATGTACATTTTTGGATTGTTTTAAATTTTGTGTACGGCATTAGGAGTTATAAGTATTTAAGAAATAACTGCGGGAAAAAGATTACTAGACACTTCTGAACCAGACACGTCATGTCTAATTGTTCTCTGTCATTTTTTCGAACAATCAACACGGTCTTGGCGCACAAATATCTAAATATAATGCGTCCAATTCGAAAATACTCTGCGTCTGAATGTAATAAATGTTGAGCCATTTGTGACTGCTAATGTACAAACGTACACATCTTGTAATAACATGATAGAATTTTCCTTATAATAATATAATAGAATAATATCTCGCTCCTATTTATTTGCATTGTCACATGCAAAAAATAATTTAAAGTTATCTTGGCGAAAATGCTTGATTCTCTCTCTCTCTCTCTCTCTCTCTCTCTCTCTCTCTCTCTCTCTCTCGCTCGCTCGCTCGCTCGCTCTCCCTCTTTTTTTTCTGATTGTTTTACTATTTCACTGAAAGAGCGTAGCCTCTTCGGAAAGTTCCAGAGACGCATGTCTATGATCGTTTCATTTATGAACGCAATATTAATCCCCATGAATAATCGTAAACTATTATATACATATATATAACGCGGCGATTATATAATGAGACTCATTTTATTAAAAAAAGAAAGAAAAGTATCGCAGTGGTTTAAAATCAAATTTACTTTATTCGAAATACATTATTTCTTCTTTAGCTTCAGTACGGTTAACTAATACTTGAAATGACCTATAAAAGTTTTCTTTTATGTGGTTTGCAGAAAGTATGTCATGTATTATTGAATGTCTTCGATGTTTTTGAAATGCTTTCCTTTTAGTGGCAATTTGTGATTCAAAAACAGACAATATAACATCAAGGCAGGAAAATACTATGAGTAAGCATACTATGAGTATGGCGACCTTATTTTTGAAGTCAAAGTTCCAGGGGGATTATCCTGTAAGCTGATGCATTGTTGTCATGCAGCAAAAACTAGCTAACTCGCGATATTCAATTTTTATTCGCTTCCGCAAACGTTCTAAGACTGCCAAGTAATAATTGTCACGTTATGACGGTTATATGTCCTTTAGGACGAATTTATGTAAGGTAACCAATCGTCCCGAATGTTGTGGGACATTTCAATTTTCGGCTCTCTATAGAAGCATTCCTAAACGGGAAAAGAAAGAATCCTAAACGGGACATACGAATTATTATATACATAATATAAAATAAATAATCAAAAATTTTATTTTTTGTGTGATGAAAGAAAAGATGTGTTTTATATTAGTTTTTCATTGCTTTTATATTCCATTGATGATTGTCTTTTGATCTTAAGAATTTTATAATTCTAATTTTTTAGACTAATTATTTAAAAAATAATAGAAAAATATATTCTATTGATTATTATATTTGATGTTGATCTAACATTTTATTTACCTACCTACTTTTATATAATTTACTCAACCTATCTATTTCAAAAAATAAAATATGTTAAAATATACCTCTCAGATATGTGTGTGTGTGTGTATAATAACCAAGAAGGACATATACGTACATTGATGTTACAAGATATCTTATGATCGAATATATCAATGAAGAATTTTCAATTTTTTATAATCGATATCCCGGAATTGGCAGATTAATTGTTGGTCATCCTAAATTTATGTTAAATAATATCTCTTCGTTGTCGTAAGACAAATCAACATAGTCCTTGAAGCTCTTGGATATTCTTGGGATTGCAATTTTTTGGCTTCTAGTTTTTATCTTTTAGATTTTTAGTCAGGTAAAGATCACATCGTCTTAAAAATATCACGTTACAATCGACTCCGAAGATTTTGGGTTTTCTTGGGAAGTTTTTATGTCTTTAACGTGGGTATGGTTGTATTGTTAATCATCCGACACAAAGCACGCACAGATCTTTTCTCTGCCAAAATCTTCTTTGTGTCTCCTATTTGCCTCTTTATCGACGTTGAGATCTACATGTCAATAATCTACACTGCAAAGTCGCCGAACAATAAAATTTTTCTGTTTTTTACATTTTCTATGAATTTCTCGTTACGAACCTAGATTGTTGGATCTGTTCCAACGTGCTCTAATTTGTTAAACATGCTTTATTGTCTCCCAAATCTTTCCAAGTATCTTTGAATCGCGCAAACTAGTGAAATATTTATCAAAAGATAGACATTTATTCCCACTTGGTGCATTGCACTGTCCGACATCATTTTGCCTCACAAGTGTGAATATTCATTTCTAATATATTTCTAACATATTTTTAAAAACGAATTCATTGTTCAAATTTGGCTATCATGTCACAATTTGATATAAAGTTGACCAGAAACGACAATTTTGAAGATTTTCATAAATTCGTTGCACCAGCAAGAGATGTCTATTCGCATGGCTATTCACATTCATGAGGCAAAAAAGTCAAGATTTATTGAACAGTATTATTATTACCATATCAGATGCACTTTTATCAATTATAAAATCAAATTCAATGTCCGCTCTTTGCATATCTCTCTTTTCCTCTCTCAAAGAGTACTGATACTTACAATAAAACTCTAACGATTAAAAAGTTACAGGCTTCAAAATAATGGCATGTGTTGACAGGTGACATTAACAATAGGTTTCATAAAAAGTCGTCATTTAATCGCCGAACTAGATATGGTGAAAGGTCTATTTCTGCACATTTGTTATAATTTTATATTTGTCTGATGTAGAAGGATTGGAAATATCTACTTCTGAGCCAAATCCTTCGCACCATTCACGCATGTCGCAAGCATAAGTGTGATTGGTTGCTAAATCTTTTACCGTCATCATTGTCGTTGCAATGTAGCTTACATTTTTTTGCATCCCATTCGTATGTTTTCTGCTGCTGCTTATACGAATTTGCTGACATTTATTAACACAATCGACTCATTAAAACTAAGAATTATTGCGCTCATATCAGATTCTTATCATAAAATGATCGTAAATTTTTCATACCAATAGTAGTTGAAACATTAAATAGTTCAGTATTTACAGTCGGTATCAACAGTCACGACATTACCGACATTATCGATTTCCACGACGTTTAAAATATTAAAAAATTCCCGGAAATTCTTAAAATTTCTTACGGCACAATTACGATTATTAATTTCTACCATATAAAAATCGCACTAATTTTAAATTATACTATAAATTTACACACACACACACACACACATATGTATATATAAAAGAGTCACATCACATCCAAATATTTTCGCAATGGTAACATATTACCATGGCAACTCTTAATAACAAATATTACATTCAATATCGTAATTGTTTAATGCTCGTTTCAATTGATCGCGCATTTTAAATTTAGAGACGCATGAATATCGAACAACCGGCTATACAACATGAGGATTGTTTCTCGGAGGGAAGCAAAGATCGCCAATCGTTTTTATGGGGGTCGAAGGACGTTAAGATAGCGACAGCATTAAAGTAATGCCGTCTTTAGAGGTAACGACGAGAGAACGACGCGCCCCCGCTTCCGGTATGACACGCGACCTTGCCGGAAGTCGCTTGTGGATTTGAGAATACAACATTAAGCCCGTGATGGTATTTATACGTGAGAGAGTACGACCCTCCGATTTAAAACGTAAACCTACTCCGTTCTTAATTTAAACATCGCCATCTTTCGTCACAAAGAATCTTGGGTGGCGAGATCTTATCGAGATATACATAGAACTTATCTGCAGAGTAAAATCATGGAATAAATCCGCCATATCAAAAGCGTTCGCTCTGCCAATTGCGGGATTCAAAATATATTCGATGCGTCAAGCAGAAATGAAATAAGAATAATTGTCGTGGGACTATTTTCGCATTTAAAAACTAAAACTCTTCCTAAAACTCTTGCATAACTAAAACAGTATTTAAAATTTAACATGAAAAAGGGAATAAAAAAGGAAAAATAAAACAAGCGTAAAATTCTGCGTAAAATTGGCGTCTCAAAACCAAAACTTTTCCGATATTATTTCTGGTCTCCATTTTACATTACAATTGAACAAAACGCATATGTTGATTTTTTAAATAATTTTAATTTTTCGATTTTTGTACTGTAGAATAAAAATAGTATAAAAATAGAGGATTCTTTATTTTATATCATAAAAGTATACCGACGTTATTAAATGAAAAAAGTGTGAGTTCCTATGGTATTTCGATTTTAGACAGAGAAACCATGTCCTATGTCATTTCTTTGATTGAACAGCCGGAATTTGTTTAATCTGTTAATAACTATATATAAAGCTATACTATAAGTAAATAGCTATACAATAGAAATGAAACTAATAATTCAATCATTAATGACAATTAATGAATCTCCACGGATTGAGACGCCAATTAGGATACACATGGATAGGATAGACAACCTGTAAAATGACCTTGAATATTTACGTAACGCTTGGAAATATCTTGATGAAATATTTTATAGTAATCTTTTTTTACAATGAATGTGATGTAAAATAATCTTCGCAGATGCATATCGCTCGTTACATATGCTAAATCAACTTCATATAAAGAAATAACCATTGTATTGTTTTTGCGACGATAGTTCGGACAGAGAAAGCAAAAACAAAGTATTCTGAATATTAAAAAATTTCTTATAGGGAAATCAAAATATCTAATTTTTATATCGTGCGTCTTATATATTATCTCATTAAAACTAATATATAAATATCATGTGGGTTGTGTTATCGAAATGTACATATATCGATGATTTTGATGGTTATTCTGAAGATTAATGTTTCTCCACGGCACAGAAATTTTTTTTAAATAATGAACCATATTAATGATAAAAATTACCGTATCTATATCGCGCGATTGGGATACGTTCCTGTTAAAACGACAACATTTATTTATTATATCTCTATTATTTAATAGCTTTTCAGATATCTTATTTAATTCAATAGTGTAAAATTCTCTTTTCTTCTTGATATTTTTCAGATATTATAGTGTATCTTCAGTCGGAACCGACCAGTATGCCATTTTCCGGTCTCGCCTAATATTTCAAACAAATATCGATCATATTGAATAAATAAAACGTAGAATTAGGGTGGCATTAAGTATATTCAATATTAAATACTGGCTGCGAAGTTTCATTGAGATATTGAAAATTTACTAAACACTGACTCTTCAGAGATACGCATAATCCAAGTAAGCGGATTGTAAGTGAAAAAAGAACGAAAATTTGTCGTTGGATATTTCGAGAGAAAAAAGGCTATGCCTGATGTTAGTTCTTTTCGCGAAAAATATTTTTCTTTTACCTGAGCATTTCCCTTAAAGAAAATATAGAATAGCATACCGATGCATTCTTTCGATGATCCCGACCGACAAACCTCGACGAGCCATAACTTAAACCTAAATCTCTTTTCTTCCCTAAAATTCACAGAAATACGTTAAATGCGTTTGCTCACGACTAAGTATTTCTTTAGCTTCTCTATTTCTTTCAGTAACGTCACAAATAATCTCACGATGTCTGTTTCGTTGCAAATTGGACAGTTTAAGATCAATTGTCCACAATTACCCGCATCAAAAATATTTATTCGACAGAAAAATAACTAAATATATCTTAAGCATAAACACACTAGAGATTTGAGCCCCACTTGAAATTTGAGTACAGTTAATTAAAATTGTATATATGTGATTATAAAATTACATGGTTATATAATTATATGGTAATGTAGTTGTTATATATATATATATATATATATATATATATATATATATATATATATATATATATATAATATATATATATATATATATATATATATATATATATATATATATATATATATATATATATATATATATAATGTAATTATGTATATATAATTATATGAAAATGTTATGTATAAAAGTTTTTACGAAAATTCAAACAAAATTGTCACTTTAACGTGTAATGATAAATTTATTAAAATTAATTTACGATTACGTTGTTTCTCACTTGGCTGTTATCATAAATAATTATCTTCACTTATTATCTTCTTTTTTTTTTCAAAAAAATATTTCTCGTTGACGCATATGAAATAAATAAGCGACCAATTCTTAACGAATTAGACTGGATTTACTTTCAATCATAGATTTTTGAAGATAAAATTAGAGCTTTATTTAATAACATGGCATCGATTCATTTTCACAAGATACAATAATGAAAATTGAAAAATTTCGAGACGAAAAAAGCAAAACAATGTTCCGTTTTTCGATAAATCCCCGAGATGAGTTTTATTCCGATCCAAAGTCAAATTAAACTGAACGTTTAATTGCAAAAATTCCAACAGTGGTGAAAATTAAATATTTTCCACGAGTAATATCAATTATCCTCCGCGAGAGACTTTTGCTGAGAGAAAGGAAAACATCGTCAGACTCACCAGAGAAACTGTAGCTAGGGAGCTCATATTGCTGAGGGATGGAGCCACAGGGATCTGTGTGAGACACGGAATACGCGGCGCGTATCCGGAAATCGTGAAATTCGGATGTGCGAGGGATGCGCGACGCCACTCGGCTACATCTTGCCGCCGCCGCAGCACCCCAAAGGTGACGCGATCCTGACGGGTTATTTTTAGGGGCAAGCCACATCTTGCCTGTAACACGTGCCATTATCAGCGCTGTTTTTCCGTAGGGGGACACGCAGAAGGGACCGCGACGTAGCACCGGCTCATGAGCTTTTAAGGGGGGCACGCGACACGCGCGTATATTCTCGAATATCAGCGTTTTACGTATTTTTGGATACGCACGACACGCGCCGTCGAGTCGGGGAAGGAACATCGAGTGGAACCCCTGATTTTTATCGCAAACGTTCTCGGCCTTTCAGGTTAGAAATTCCTGACGGTGACGCGGACGCGCAAAAGTGACCTTTGTATCGTCACACATGACGACGTAGATTGAGATTGCGATTGAGATCGGTTTCTTTGCGAAAATTCGACGAGACAATATACGTTGTTGGAATCTGCATTATTATTATTATTATTGTGTTATCTTATCGCGTAATGCCTCCACGTGTTCGCGTTGTGTTGGAGAACGCCATCTTGTTTTGTCGAATTAATGTCGATTACTTGCGCAGCAGTAAGATATTACTTCAAGCACTGATACTTGTAATGTTATTTGTAATGAAATTAAGAACTGAGAAGAGTACATTGTACCTTAATATTACCCACTAAAATCATATGTCATACACGCGGCGATATTATAAGATAATAAGTGTAATAACTTCCTCGTTTCGATATGGCGAGAATTTGCCACGTAGCGTTATCCGAGTGTTTGAGAGAATGTTCGAGAGCGCAGAAATTACAAATCTCTATCTTTGCGTGACATATCGTATCATACAAAAATTACTATTATTTCACATAAATTCTACTTACTGAGGAATAATGTTATTTGCACAAAACTCGCGAATTTCATCTTTATTCATCATTTATTCCTGAAATCGTGTGAAGAATATTATTATTCAGAAAAAGATTATTCCACTACTACGAAAACTTGGATTACTTTTTTTTTTGAGTAGACTGAGACAGAAAAAGTACTTGAAAATTTATTTGTAAGATGAAGTTTATTCACAGAAATAAACTTTACATCCCATAAATGAATGTTCAAATATTTTTTTCTCAGTGTAATGGCTACCCAGATAGCACAGAGAATTCAAAAAAGAATTCAGTCGTATGTCATCAATTCTGAGTTTATTTTTAGATGCAAAAAGAATTCTTCAGTTCAGCGAAAAGAATTCTTTTTGCATCCAAAAATGAACTCGGAATTGACGACATACGACTGAATTCTTTTTGAATTCTCTGTGCTATCTGGGTACTTTTAGCAAAGGATAATATTTCTTGATAATATTTTAAAATATATTTATCACAAATTTTAGAACGCGTTTGAATACAGTATGCATTTTTGCATATATGCAGTGTTGTTGATCATGATATCGACGTGAACACATGAAAATTAACACTTCAATCCCTTCTCAACTAAATTTGTTGAGAAGAAATGCATCCGTGTGAAACTTGAAATCAAATTGTCGGCTAAGCGTAATTGATGAAGTTACGGCGACTGTCAACGTCACAATTGACAATCGTGTCGAAAACGACCACTCGTACAAAAATGTGGACAAATTATTGAGAAGGGGAATCAAATAGATGCTTAAGAAGGACACGAGAAGGATCGCTTCGAATGTATTTTACGTTTGAGATGCGGCAAAGCGATAAGATGGCAATGCCGAGCGCTCAAACCTCAGCGGGGTGTTTTTGGCGGGAGTCAGATCGGGCAGAATGCGCATGTTCGGATGGAATAAGCGGGAAAGGTAAATAAGGCCTTCACGGTGATTAATGGACGGAGTCTGGCGCGGCCGTATCGCGTCAGAAAGAAGTTCGCGAGCGTGCGTGTCGGACGAGTAGCAGCAGCAGCGGAAAACGGAAAAATGACGCGCGCACTTTTTTTCTCGCCTACCACGCCTCGTGTGTAGCTCTTCCTAATGGTGGGAGCCCTCTGGGCCCCGAATTCTATGGAAATATCCCCATACTTCTTCTTCCACTCCCTCCACGTAAGTTTTTCCATCCTGGAAGTTTCTCGCGATCGACCTTCCTTAGTCCATCCTTAGTCTTTCGCACGCCTAGCGAGAGTAACAATCTCTCCTGTCGACTGTTTCTCAACTCTTCTGCTTAAGCCACGTGCACGTGAAAGTTGCTTAAGTGATATGGTATTACGATGATGCTTAGATACTGTTTCTAGGATAATATCGAGAAAATTTATTTTAAACAATATTATAATACATAAATATATATTATAATGTATATTTACATATAAACATATTATCGTGTTATTTAATCATTACTCGTTTTTCACTTTATATTTTTTTATTTTCCTGTAAAATTAACGAATTTTTAGTGTTCTTTAAAACTGGAAATAAATAAATTTCATTTTTCTGTTAACAGACGCCCAAGTTCGGTCGGACCTGGTGGAACAGCTTCCGCATGTGGCGGTGATTTGCCATGAGGCGCCGCAGCTCTTCGGCCGAGATGTTCTTCCAAATCATCTGCTCGGTATTATCATAAAGTATCTTCGGGACATGGACAAACAGGCAAGTAGCTCTACGTGTGATCCTTGCCTTCATGTCTTGTTTTCCTATTCTTAAGCAAAAACTAAGACTCCTATAGAGCAAATGTAAATCTTTTTTTTTCTCCAGGTACGAATGGCGGCTCAAAATGCGCTGATAATGCTGATAAAACGAGGCCTTCTTGATAACAACACTATCGAGGACGAAATCGGCCCCATAGTAGAAATTTTGTCCTATATGTCGGCGGACTTTCTGAGCACGAGCGTCTCCGTAAGTTTCCCGCGATTTATTGTCTTTTTTTTCTTTTATCTATCTTTATTACAATCGAAAGCAATCGAAGATTCGGCACAAAAAAAGACTGCAAGTGTATTATATTTTCAAAGTTCTTATTTTGTTTGGAAGGAAAGCTTTGTGTGCTAATGAGGAAACATTTGGAAATGTCCTTCATCGATTTTGATGGTCGTTGAGTATGTCAAAAAGCAAAGAAAAATAAAGAATACATATATACATATATGTTATCTTACACAGAGTTTAGAGGATGAAACATTCTTTGAATATCTCTCATATCTTCTATGTATATATCTCATCATTTCGGAAATATTCCTTTATGATCTATTTTATCAAATCTTTGAGAACATTTAATCAAATATTTTACGTTATTGTTGTCTGACGAAATACTTGATCTGACTTCCGAATTAATGCCGTGTCCTTCATGAATTTGTTTCCAACATTTCGTGAACATTTCAGTTCTCTTCTTCAGGGAGTTCTTCTCCTTTTTCCCTTCTTTTCTCTGAAAAAGTAAATTGAAATATTCACGAAACATCGTAAAGAAATCTATAAAGGGCATGAAATTAACACAGAAACCAAATCAAACATTACAAATTGTTTCAAATTGTAAATAAGTATGAGAAAACGCATATAAAAACGTACTTTTATTATCTTTAGTTGTTCTACTATATATTCAAAGTTTATCAAAATCGCGCGATGAGGGATATATATATATATATATATTTATCTTCTTCAAATGTTTTTTTGTACGAAATTTAACACTATAAAGATTGCATGAAATTTATGTTAGACAAAACAAATAAAGGAATATTTTTCATATTTGTTTCCTATGTAAAGCAGATATCATTCTTATAAACATTTAATATTAAAAAAAAAATATTCCTTTTATATCAAATTAAAATATCTCACGCCTATAAATAAATGATGAGGAAGTATCGTTTGGAAAATTAATTTTTTCTGAGATTTCCGTTCATTAGGGATAGCTTTGGCTCGAACTTTTATATGTCACTTGCAATCCCTGTTTTTTCTGCCGTATCTTCATCAGTGACATCCGTACATTTCGGAAAATCTTGCGATCTCTCGATCAGAGATACATAGCCGCGTGAACGCGTTCGTATATGTATTGAAGAAACGATCTTCCGTATTTACAGATTCCTCCTGAAAGACATGGGTAGTGAGATGTTCTTACGCAATCGCGTCTCACTATCTTGTCTTTCATGCGGCGTCTGTTCGTCCCGACATTATACAAAGAACCACAAAATCACGCGGCAAAATTGTACGATCTGTTACATTAGTGAAAAACGAATCGTCATCGAACTTCGAATCGAAGCGAGAAACGAATAAACGATAAGAAAAGAGATACGAGAGAGAGAGAGAGAGAGAGAGAGAGAGAGAGAGAGAGAGAGAGAGAGAGAGAGAAAGAGAGAGAGAGAGAGAGAGAGTTGGAAGAAATAAGTTAATCGCATTTTAAGAATGATATTGAAAGAACGAGAAGAAACACTTAGTCACCATCGTTTGAAGATCTCTATAAGCAAAAAATGATGGCCAAAGAGAGCAGCATGTGAAACATGTTCATGGAAAATGCAAACTTTGGCATCCTGGCGAAAGGCGGGGCATGCTTTTACCATCAAAGTTGGTTTGTCATAGAGTTCGCGACTATCACAGCCAGCTTTGATGAACAAAATTGTGTCCGTTCTCAGCGTGCTCCGATGGCTAAAAGAACGGAGTCGTGAAAGTCTCGAGTGATAAAATGAGAGGGCACGGGGTAAAAATTGCACAGCGAAGAAGAGGAAGAGACACTACCAGGAGCTCCCAAGACTGGACAGTTACATACCTTTTGCGGTCCGATACATCAAATTGGTTGTGGAATGTTTCGAGTCATATCACAGCCATTTTGATGAGCTTGGCCCGCAGAATCGATCGTCAGGAAGATCATTCGCTCATCGTCGACATCTGTAGGAGTGTTCGGTAACTTGTTATGCGACCAACATGTAATGAAGGCTCATTGTATTTGTATCGTATATAAAACTTGATGCGTTTTATTGCCAGATCTTTCGCGAGCAATTGTTTCTTGTGCGCTTTTAGGAACCGTCGCGTGAAGCTTCATCCAATGAACACACAGCATCAGGAGAAACGCGATCCAATCGTCAAATTGGTTGTGGCGTGTTGCTTCTCTAAATTTCATATCACAGCCATTTTTGACGAGTTGGATCGCCGTTTTATGCATCGCCTTCTCCACTTAGCGCAGTAGCGGAGAAGGATATAAAATGTGTAAGGATCTCTCGCCATGCGGGATGTTCTGGCAATTGCTTCCTCGGCTACAGAAGACAGTGTACTCGCGTTGCTCACAAAGTGGCTGTGATATGCTGATGCAACGATGCTCATATCACAGCCAGCTTTGATGAGCGTTGCGGTACTCATGATTCAGCAAATTCGATATTCGCGTTAAAGACATTCCGAAGCTGATCCTCTGCGTTCCGATGTCTAATTAAGCTGACAGATAGAACAATCTTATCAATAATTCGATTTGTACTTTTATTTCATCTCTAATTGTTTTGAAGTATTATATATATTATATTTCGTTTACTTCTGGTACGAGAATTTTTCTCACCTATTCGTTTTTTTTTTGTGCTGCCTATATATCCATGTAATCAACTGGATTTACAAAGATAATATTACAAACTTTATCACAATTCACGCAATTATTATTTTTTGCTTGACTTTTTATATATATTTTTACTGCAATGTAAATATCTGTGAATATTTAATCATAATGTATTTAGTAATACTTGTCATAATTGAAATATTTCATTTAAGCATTGCTATTTGTTATATTTATTATAACTAGGTTACATTATTATTCTATGTAATACGGCGTAAATATAGATGTCTGTCTCGTCATAGCATAAATTGTAATTTATTGATACACGCTGTTTTATAGCTGATTGTTGGAAATCGACTGTTCCACCCATCAGAGTGGTTGTGATGTGCTGTTATTGATTCATATCACAGCCAGCTTTGATGAGCGGAACGGAACGATTAATCTCAACCGAAAAATATCTAAAAGATGTCCTTTTCTATCACTTTATTATCGCGCAAAATGCACACAATATACACATAATAATATAGTATATGAATGTAAAATTGTACTTATTAATGTTACATGTTGTTTAGTTGGGACTTTTAGTTTTAATCGTATCAATAGTTAAGAAATTGTACGTAATTATAGTTGATTAGAGATTATAATATACAAGAAAAATTATCTCTCTGCAATAGTACGCGCGCGCTTCTCTCTTGCGTTAGACTTTTTGTAACACTAAAAATATTCATTTTAACACACACACACACACACACACACATCCCATATTTTATATTGATTCGCAGCTCATGTGTAAACTGGCACCGCTGATTGGTAAAGAACTCACAGAAAGGATCTTTCTGGACAGATACATCGAAATGTGCGAAGATGACGATACGACGGTGAGAAAAATATGTGCTACTCACTTTGGGGAAATGTGTGCCGCTGTAAGCAGGAAGGCACTATTTCGAAAATTGGTGAGTCCGATTTTATATATATAAAAACAAGGAGTTAATTAATTCGTTTAATTAGCACATATAGACAAGATAATTCTATGAATTTATTGATACTACTCGAACACCAATCGTAGTTCCCCACATTCATCGATTTATGCGGCGACAAAGTATGGGGTGTGCGAAAAGCGTGCGTCGACGTGATGATGCCGGTTTCTTGTTGCTCGACGTTGGAGCACCGTCGATTGTTTCTCGCGGAAATACTGGCAAAGCACCTGAAGGACGAGTCAAAGTGGGTGCGAATGTCGGCCTTTCAGATACTCGGTCCGTTCATATCGACTTTCGCCAAACAGTTCACTGAAGTCACCTACAATCAGCATGGCGAGTTGGTATATACCAGTACGCAGGATAATTACTTTAGGTATAATGTATCGTACTTTTTTGTCCTTCGTCACGCTCGTACCGTTGCGTCTGCGTGTCTAAATTGAGTAATGGCTTCTTACAGTGTACGTTACCCATACGAACATTTTATGTTCCCTATAAAGTGCATAATGCGAAATCAAACACCTGATATGGATGATAATGCCAAAGGTACTTCTTTCAACATGTCTGAAATAAGTATGAAATCCTCCATAACGGATTCCTGGGAAAGAAATGAACAGAAGAATGATTCCACGGAACGATCACGCTGCCTGTTATCTAAAGACAAGTTACCTATACAAGTAATATCCGTTGTAATGTTCATTGAAACTTATGTAAAAAGCGTAACATTGCGCAGAAATTTCATGTTATCCTTTTTTTTACTTCTAAATACGATATACAGAAGAGAGATAATTTATATTGCACACTTATACATATCTGCATACAGACATTTACTATCAGTTTATATATTATACATATATTGTGTGTGTATTCTGTAAAGTTAACTTTTAATAAAATCTTGGTTACCATGTTTGTGTGATGTAGATATTCTTTGATTTTTTTAGATGCGACGGTTGAATATTCTATCATCGTCTCTGAAAAAGAAAGTTGCGGACGAGACCGAGAAATACAATCCATTTTTATATTATTATATTCCTCCAGAGGCGCCGTTGGATGACGAACTCATTCATGCCGCAAGGCAGTCGGCGATGAATCGTAATAATGCTGAGAAAGTGGCAGCAGCGAAAGAAGATGTCATCGACAAGAATAGTTCGCCTAGTTCTTCCAAAAGTACATCCTCGAGCTTGAATAACGAGGTGGAGCAGGAAGAGAAGAAAGAGGAGGAAGAAGAGGAAGAAGAGGAGGAAGAGGAGGAGGAGGAGGAACAGTTAAATACGGAGAGTCGGTCAAACGTAGATAAAGAAAAAGATAATGACGATTATTCTTTATCGTCGCACGACACAACCGAATTATTGGACGACACGCTTTACATATGGAATCTCTCCATGAACAAAAGCAGCATCGCCTTTAGCTTCAATAACAATTTAGATTCGACGAATAGTCAAGGAGGACAGGACATCGTACCTCAGGAGTTGATCAGGCAGTTCGTGTCGATGGTCGACCCGGAGCAATGCGCAGACATGGGCTCCGAGATACCGCATCATTGTGCCTTCAGTTTTCCCGCTGTCGCGCTCACGCTGGGTAGAGAGAAGTGGAATTGTTTGAAAAAAGCTTATCAATCGTTATCAAGCGCGAAACAGTGGAAGGTCCGGCGTACACTAGCATCCAGCATTCACGAGATTGCTCTGATCCTAGGCGAAGAACTCACTGCCACCGATCTCGTGCCGATCTACGACGGTTTTATCAAGGATTTGGACGAGGTCAGGATAGGTGTACTCAAACACCTCGCGACTTTCCTGAAGATACTCAAGCCTACCGATCGCTGCCAATATCTGCCAAGATTAAGCGACTTCCTCGTCACGGACAACGAATGGAACTGGAGGTTCAGAGAGGAACTGGCTACCCAATTGCTCGAGGCTGTGACTCTGTTTAGCCCAAACGACGTAGCCAAAAGGATCGCACCATTGTCTCTTCAGCTACTCGTGGACAAGATCGCCGCTGTCAGGACTGTTGCACTTGACCTGGTAAAAAATCTGTTTCTCTCTCCCCCCCCCCCTCTCTCTCTCACCG